TCATTTGGAGCTGGGCATAAAATAAAACCTATTTCCTTACTTCAGGTACAGATTTACGCTTGTGGTGTGATGTGAAATGCTAGTTTATTTTAAGTACATGTAAACTAGAATGTTAGCTCCTCGTCTGTTTAAAAAAAAACAGCCCAGAGTGGATTCGGATGTTTACTTACGGGCCTGCTTTGTGGGAAGTTGGTCTCGGTTGAACGGTGGTTTATAAAACGGCTGAGCCAACCCAGGCGTCTGATGACAGCTGGACAAAACACGCCGTCTGCACCGTCCCCGCTCCGTTTCTCCATCATCTTCCTTCGAGCCCTGACGTAGCGGTCTCGGACTTGTTTCCATTTTATTTTGCACGTCTCCGCGTCGCTTTGTAGGTTGTCACTGATCTCTCTCCAGCTGCTCTGACAAGCATACTTGTCGCTGTGCAGTGGTAACGATGCATCATAAAGATGTGGATAGTTTCGAACCTGGTCGATTAGCTTGTCTTCAAAGCTTTCTGACATTTTAAAACTAGCGGGGTTTGCCGCCGTTGACCCCTGTACTACATCCGGTTAAATAACGCTCTACACTCCGCCTAGTGGTTACCCGTATATTGCAGCGTGCGGCCGCGTCGCGCTAATTTCAGAGGACGTGCACAAACGACGCATCAAACGAACGCAAACGAACGCAAGGCAGCCATGATACGTATGCGTTGTTAAAAGCAAGTATATTTCCACCCTAAGAGGAGAGGACGTGCAAACGTCATCGCTGCTACTGCTGCGTTGAAATTCAGTGATCTGGAGCAGGTCAAAAACACGACACTTTAAGTTATCACGTATTTTGTGTGCAAATGCTTTTGCATATCCATTGTGTTTTCTCTCTTTGATGAAATATCTAGTTAGCAAGTATTGCTACTTGTCCTGTTGTCATCTTTTCTCATAAAGTTGAACTAAACTTTTGAGCATTTGTGCAGCTTAGGTGCCATGTTTCAGTCTGGTGCATTTTGAGGAAACAAAGTAGAGTTACAGGCTGGTGAGAATGTATGATAAAGTATTTATACATGTTCATGGTATTATAATACTACACATGATTGATTATACATCCTGTCCTGTCTTTAATCCACTTTGAACACCGACTACAGCGAAGTCCTCTGATGCATCCATGCTGCTCAGTACCAGACCTGTATGATGTCACTAGTTGCTGAAGAACCAATTAGCTGACAGAGCTGCTGGTGAACGTGTGAGCGTGCGTAACTTGTTAAACTATGTGACTCAACTTATGGAAGAAAGTAGAATCCAGCTGCTGTTATTTATTTGTTGTTGTTTATAGAAACTAAATGTATCTGCAGGGCTTTATGCCCAGGGCAGTTTTAGACCTCGGACAAAACCACATCCATCCATCCATGCATTCTCATCCGCTTATCCGGAGTCGGGTCGCGGGGGCAGTAGTCTGAAGCCTGATTTATGCTTCTCTGTCTGCGTCAGTGTGGAGACACGCAACGCCATTATCCGTCCTTGCGTAGGGCTCCGGCAGGCCCGCAAGTACGTACGACGTCGAGCCCACTTTTTTAAACATCCATCGAATGAGACGGATTACGCAAGCTTGTGATTGGTCAGGATGCCGCTGTTGTTTACAGCGCCGCCATTGCAAAGTGAGCCGAGGATAACTAGCGGCAGACACGGAGAAGCTTGAAGAATACCTCTCGAAAAAACTCTAAAAATATGAACGTTTCATCCTCCCGTGACTGGCTGGGCTGTGCAGGCAAGCTAACAGGCAAAGCCTTTTCTGTGAACGTTTGTAGTGTGCCTCTGTGACACATCAAGAGTCCGAACTCATCCTTCACTTTTATGAATCTGTGCTTCCCCTGTTGAAGGTATACGTTGTTTCCTTTCGAACAAAGGTGCCAATGGTGCACAAACTGCATGATGAACAGGAAAAGATGTTCAGAGAGTTCCTGTCCTGCATCATCAAACAAGAAGAGTTAATATGAATCATTAAAGAATCATTAGCTAATAAATCCACCACTGAGTTGTTGTGAAGCTTAGGTAATCATTAGTTAATCAATACAATCCTGATTTCACTTATCATTAGTTACTCATCTGGTAACATGTGTTACCTTAAACAGCGATACACAGCTACAGCTTATGAGCTTGACTCTCCCATGTTCCAGTGAGAATCAACAAAGTTCCTCGGAGGAGAAGTGAAACATCTTCAAGAAACCAAAGAAGTCCAGATGCCTTCATTTGAACCCCTTTGGATCAGCTCAGCAGCACTTCGGCGACATTGTTTTCTGGATGTGCAGACAAACTTCCAGGAAGAAAAAAATCCAACCTCCAGTGGAGGGACATTTTATGGGATTCTTAAAAGGCTCAGTGCTGTGGGATGACTCCCACGTCCTGTAAGTACTGGTGAGTAAACAACCAAGCTGCTCTCAAGTCTTTGTTTGTTCAGCCTGTTAAAAACATGACTTTTATTAGCCTGCTGTTACTTTTCATTGGGGCTTTTAGCTCGACTAGTCTCTTAGGTTGTCTCTTTATACATCTGAGAGTGTTTATCCAACACTGTTGACTGGAATGGATGAAACACTGCATTCCAAAAGTAGTCAGCACCCTCATCGGTGACATCCAGCTTCAACGTGTCTAAGTCCTTCTTGCTGGGATCCTCATACCCCTCTGATGAGCTCCAGTCCAATACTGTTGGCTGATGTTAGCTAGCCCTCTAATAGCCTGTTTTCCTAATGGATGTGAACTCAAGTGAACAAGGTCATTTGGGTTGAGCAGGACAAAGAAAGCAGAGAGTTGAAGGTCATACTTGATTTGTTGTGGTATGAACCTACCTGAGGATGCCCCGATACCAACACCAGGATCAGTAATCAGTCTCAGACCTTGTGCTAAATGACAATACTGGTATCACTTTATGGCAACGTTGCAGCAATCCCCTCCCTGTCCAGCAGTTTAGTGCACTGGTGCAAAAAAAAGGAGGCATGCACTTTATGCAACACATAAGGGCGCTGTGCTAGAGGGGGTTCCACATTGATGATGGGAAAAATACTTTTAGTACGGTTCTTACACAAATATACTTTTTACTTATTTAGTTTTTTTACAACTAGTACTGTTCTGTTACAAATTAACCATATTCCCCAAAGGCTTATCCCATTATTGGATTTATCGATGGATTACCGTGGCCTTAAAGTCATAAGTCTTACCTAAATATCCTTTGTAATTCTGTTTGTGAAACTATAAACATTATTAAAAAAATTATGAAGTAATGAGGTGTTAACACTTTACAAAAGGGAAGCAAAAAGTGTAACTGTCATGAGCCGGGGTGAGTACTCTTCACGCTATTCACCATCTCTGAGTTTCTGATCGCAGGAGAGGGAGCAACAGCTGATCCTCATCAGCGGGCCGGCTTTATAAGGAGGAGGGTGATCATGCTTCAACGCCAGATGTTTACTACTGACCGGTAGTCTCTTGCCCTTCGTGTTTCACTAGTCTCGACTCGTTTGGCACATGTTTTTGAAGATACGTTTTAACGTGGATATCTTTTGGATACTTACCTCAGGTTGCTTCATCTGTGGAAACTCTGCTGAACTCTGGAAGGACGTCTCTCCGGTTCGTTCCTGCATCACCCTTCATTCAGCCGACCCGCTCTCCACCACGCTCACGCTCCCTCTCCGAATCAGCCTCCTCAGCTCCTCCCGTCAACCAGGGGCGGATTTAGGACTGAAGAAGATCCGGGGCTTTACACACACACGCACACGCACACACACACGCACACACACGCACACGCACTAGTCAACATCGTATATATATATGTCTTGTACCACATAATTTTTAATCTGAAGCTACATATTAAGCATTTTCAGGGCAGAGTATTGTTCCTGTTAGTGTTTAGTGTGAGATGATAGTAAATATTCCCGTTCTTTCTCCAACAACTTTACCTGATAGTAAGCTAACTTTAGGCAAACCAGCAGCACAACAAATATTTTCAAATAAGACTCACAAACCTGAGTCAACACCAGTCTCATCAAAGCTGGGGTTCTGCTGCCGTACTTTTGGTCTAAAAAACGTCCTTATGTCCATCTTCACTCATGCGTTTCAGGCAGAGACTGTAGAAGAAGCCGGCTGCTGAAGGGCTTCTTCAGTGGTGGAGGCTCAGGCAGGCTGTATACAAACTACTGCCAGCTGCTCCCTCTCTGTTGGACTTTGGTACTGCATGTTACTTCCACGATTTAGATCCGGGGCTTTTCATAAAACATCCGGGGCTTCAGCCCAAGTAGCCGGGCCCAACGCCACCCCTGCCGTCAACACTCATCCTCCTGGACCGTAATCTTCGCTCTGGATATCACCCCGGCTCACTCCCCCTCCATTTCCATTCCATACTTCCGCATCGTAATTCCCGTCTCCAAACAATTCCCTCAAAACTACAATTGCCAATACTCACCTCTGTTTTCCCTTAGACGCCGCTTCCTGTTTGCTTTCCCATCTGCTGGACCCCCAGTGTGCCCTTAGTTCTCCTGTTCCAAAATAAAATATTTTATTTTTGCCTTTACACTCGCCTCAGTCTCTCATTCTGCATGTCTTGGGTTAGGCATCTACCTCAGAACATGACAGTAACAGATTACTTGTAGATGTACAGATGTAATTTATTCATGTATTTAAGGCTATAAGTAAATTTATTTATATAGCACTTTTCACATACATGCTGTAGATCAAAACAAAATAGTCATAAAATCATAATGATCTTAAAATATAAATTTTTTAAACATTTTAAGTAATGAGGTGTTGCAGAACATTTAACTATGACATGTGACTTATTTTTTCCTCTAAGTAGACTCAGAGGTCTCATGTCCAGACAAGACCTTGAGAAACTCATTCATGCGTTCATCTACAGCAGGCTGGACTATTGCAATGGTCTTTTGACTGGTCTTCTCAAAAGCTGTGAAGCAACTGCAGCTTATTCAGACTTCTGCTGTCATGGTGGGCTGAAGTCTCTTAACCCACATGAGAGAATCACACACGGATAAGGTGAGCGATGATATAAAGGTCTTTATTATTAAGAAACACAAAGAAACCAAAGAATAATAAATAAGAGCACAGATCCAAAGGGACAGGAAAACGGGACGACTCCGACTATAAGAAAAAACACAATGGTGTGAGTGGCAGAAACCGAGAACCAGGAAAGTATAAGATAAGAGGAATGGTCTTACTGAGTTGAGCAGGGTACGAGCTGGAGGGAGAGGCAAGTCAGGCTGATGCAGGGGTGGAGGTTGTCGCAGGAGAACGGTTAGATCCAGGAAGGCAGGTGAGCGGTGGAGAGCGGAGGCCAGGGAATCGAACAGCGCCGAGATGAAAAAAAACACACACCTCAGGGAGGCAGAGAGTATCCAGGACTGGGGCAGACAAAAACACAGATCAGGTTGAACAGACAAACTAGTTTTCAGGTCTCTGATTTAGGACAGGATTTACCCAACAATTGAGCGCTGTTCCTTAAATCCTCTGGCCAAGCTGGAGTTAATTGGCTTCAGCTGCAGCTCCCCAACACACTCACCTGCAAACAATGAATGACAAAACACAGCAGAAGACAGCAGAACCATGACACCTGCTGCTTGAGTCTTAACAAGAACCAAGAGAACTGAGCACATCGCTACTGTTCTTAAACACTGGTTACCAGTAAACTACAGAATCAATTTCAAAGTACTTCAACTAGTTTATAAATCACTCAATGACATGGGACCAGAATACATGTCAGATCTCCTTCCTGTATACACCCAGGCTCTGAGATCCTTAGGAAGCGGTCAGCTGGTAGAGCCCTGGGTCAGAACCAAGAAACATTCTTTGTCCTTCCCGGAGCAAACAGCTAGCGAGCTAGCATCATGACTCTTCTGACATCTGATGCCCAAAAAGACACGCCCCTAATTATTCTTAATTTCAAACTTTAATTAAATCTAAAGTTGTCGTGACGGATAACTAGATCTACTAAACCCACCGTGATTTTTGTGAACCTGACTGTAAACATGTTCATTTCTGCTGTGAATTAGGCATTTTTAACATGGGAGTCAATGAGAATTTTCTCTCTTTTGGATCCACTCCAAGTGGATGAGGGGAGAACTGCGATTTTTAACACTTCCTGAAGTTTAAGGAAATGGAAGGAGTTTGGGGCTTGGCATATGCCAACACTCATGCATACACACACACAAACAAAAACACACGCACGCATGCAAACACACATTCACATGTGTGCATGCACAACTTTTGTCTGGTAAAATTCTGTCAATGCCTCTCATGTTTTGTCATGATCAACAGTTTTTCTTAAATCTTTAATTTCTCAAACTAAAAAAGCATCATTAGTTTTAATGGGTTACAGCAAACACTTTAGTAGAAACTCTTTTTTTTCTGTCAAAAAGCAACAAGATAGAACCCAACCATCAACAGCCTTTTTTCAGACATGATCCCTTTCTGCAGGTATTTCACAGTAAGAGAAATAATTACAACAGGAGTCAGAGGGCCCCTCTTGTCAGCGCACACATGTGTGTTGGAGTCAATTGACCCTGTTGCTAGGAGACCAGGGTCACCCCCTGTGGGTGACAGTATTTGCTGGCCAGTCTGCAGTAGGGAGACAAAGAATAGGAAGACAAAACACGAGTACTGATCAAAGTTTAGCCAGAGTCCTGCTGTTTTCCAAATAAAACCCTGACGGCTGGCCTCTGAGGGCCAGCCTTGTTTCAATAAGGGCACATAGCCAGGGGTCTATGAACTACATCAGTGACACCTCCAATGGATTACATATCTAAGTGATAAGTGTCAGAAGAGACATGCAACCACTTGGATGTGTGTCACAATAATGTATTTAAGCCTGTGTGAGGAGCTGTTTAAAAGAAGAAAGGATGTTTTAACTAGTGCCTTTCAGGATAAAAATCACAAGAACAGTGACATTTTGAACCTGAAAGAGGAGCGGGATGACGACAAGGGTGTGTTTGGAGGATTGGAGGTGAGCAGTGATTCTGTTAAATTACCCTTAGCCTAATATGATGTAGTGTACCAAAGGACAACTATTTGGTTATTTGTCCACTGTAAGGTCAGAGGTCATCTCGCAGAAGTGTCCAGACGACTGTACATACTGTCCAGACTGTTCCCCTGCACTGGTCTCCAAACCAGTAACACACTGCTCTACGACCTTGTTGCCAAGAAGGGAAGCCATAATGAACCCTTCCCGTGAATTCCTTTATCTTTGCTGGAAGCCAAGATCTCATGCAGAAGACGAGACCTTTACTCTCTGAATAAAAGTTCATCTTCCTTGAATAATAAATGACTTTACTACTTTATAGGTTGATATAATCAAATGTAACCAAAGTGTTTTGATAATGTGTACATTAATCAATGATGAGTTGAAATGTATAATTTTACTGTAATGATTCATTTCTGATCTCAAACTATACCAGATCAGTATTTGTTGATTCTAGAAATGTAATCCTCTCCCTGGGCTGCCACTTTACCATGGTGGAGGGGTTTGAGTGTCCCAATGATCCTAAAAGCTAAGTTGTCTAAGGCTTTATACCTCTGGTAGAGTCAACCATGGCAAACAGGTCCTAGGTGAGGGATCAGACAAAGAACAGCCCAACGACTTCTTATGATGAATAATATAAATGGAAACTGTGTTCCCTCGCCCGGACATGGGTCACTAGGGCCTCCCTCTGGAGCCAGACCTGGAGGCGGGGCACGTTGGCGAGCGCCTGGTGGCCGAGCTTTCACCCATGGAGCCTGGCCGGGCACAGTCCAAAGAGGAAACGTGGGTCCCCCTTCCCATGGGCTCATCACTCGTGGGAGGGGCCAAAGGGGTCAGGTGCAGTGTGTGACAGGCAGGGACCTTGACGGTCTGATCCTCGGCTACAGAAGCTGGCTCTTGGCACATGGAATGTCACCTCTCTGATGGGGAAGGAGCCTGGGTTGGTGTTTGAGGTTGAGAGGTTCTGACTAGATATAGTCGGACTCACCTCAACGCATGGCTCTGGCTCTGGAACCAGTTTCCTTGAGAGGGGTTAGACTTTCCACCACTCTGGAGTTGCTCCCACTGAGAGGCGCAGAGCAGGGGTGGGCATACTAGTTGCCCCCCATCTTGGTGCCTGTTCGTTGGGGTTTACCCCAGTGAACAAGAGGGTAGCCTCCCTCCACCTACGTGTGGGGGGACGGGTTCTGACTGTGGTCTGTGCTTATGTACCAAACTACAGCTCAGACTACCCACCCTTTTTGGAGACCTTGGAGGGGTGCTGTAAAGCGCTCCTTCTGGTGACTCCCTCGTTCTGCTGGGGGACTTTAATGCTCACGTGGGCAACGACAGTGAGACCTGGAGAGGTGTGGTTGGGAGGAACAGCCTACCTGATCTGAATTAGAGTGGTGTTTTGTTATTGGACTTCTGTGCTAGTCATGGATTGTCCATAATGAACACTATGTTCAGACATAAAGTCCATATGTGCTCTTGACACCAGGATACCTCAGGCCACAGCTTGATGATAGACGTTATTGTCGTTTCATCTGACCTGTGGCCGCATGTCTTGGACAAGCGGGTGAAGAGAGGGGCGGAGCTGTCAACTGACCACTACCTGGTGGTGAGTTGGCTCAGATGGTGGAGGAGGATGACAGTCAGACCAGGCAGGCCCAAATGTATTGTGAGGGACGTCGGGCAGTCTCCTGTCAGAAGGAGCTTCAATTCCCACCTCCGACAGAATCTCCAAAATGTTCCGGGGGAGGCGGGGGGCATCAAGTCTGAATGGACTCTGTTCTGTGCCTTGTTGAGGCAGCAGACCGGAGCTGTGGTCGCAGGATCGTCTGTGCCTGTCGTGGTGGCAACCCCCGAACCCGTTGGTGGACACCAGTGGTCAGAGATGCTGTCAAGCTGAAAAAAAAGAGTCATATCAGGTCTTTTTGGCTTGTGGGATTCCAGAGGCAGCTGACGGGTACTGACAGTCCAAGTGGAATGCGGATCTCATCCATACCTGGAGCCTTGCCACAGAGGAGCTTTTTAACCACATCAGTGACCTCAGCACCAGAGATTTGAGAGCCCACCTCAAAGTCCCTTAAGGCTCTGAATGTTGTGGGGCTGTGTTGGATGATGCGGCTCTGCAACATCGCGTGGACATCGGGGCAGTCCCACTGGAATGGAAGACTGAGTTGGTGGTTCCCTTATTTAAAAGGGGGGACTGCAGGGTGTGTTCCAACAACAGGGGATCACACTCCTGAGCCTTCCTGGTAAGGTCTATTCAGTGGTTCTGGAGAGGAGGGTCCATCGGATTGTTGAACCTCAGATTCAGGAGGAGCAATGTGATTTTCGTCCTGGCCGTGGAATGCTGGACCAGCTCTATACCCTTAGGGGGATCCTGGAGGGTGCGTGGGAATTTGCCCATGCAATCTACTTGTGTTTTGTGGATTTGGAGAAGGTGTTTGACCGCGTCCCTCGGGGTGGGGTGGGGGGGGGGGGGGGGGGGGGGGGTTACTCCGGGAGTATGGGGTACCAGGCACTCTGATACAGGCTGTTAGGTCCCCGTATGACCGGTGTCAGAGCTTGATCCGCATTGCCGGCAGTAAGTCGGGCTCGTTCCCACTGAGAGTTGGACTCCGCCAAGGCTTCCCTTTTTTCACAGATTCTGTTCATAACCTTCATGGACAGGATTTCTAGGCACAGCCAAGGTGTTGATGGCATCCGTTTTGGTGGCCTGAGGATCAGGTCTCTGCTTTTTGCAGATGATGTGGTCCTGTTGGCTTCATCAGAACGTGATCTTCAGCTTTCGCTGGAGTGGTTCGCAGCCGAGTGTGAAGCAGCTGGGATGAGAATCAGCTCCTCTAAATCTGAGACCATGGTCTTGATTCGGAAAAGGGTAGAATGCCTTCTCAATTCAATTCAATTCAATTCAAAAATACTTTATTAATCCCAGAGGGAAATTGATTGCTGTAGTAGCTCAGGATAATAATAATAATCAAGTCATCAAAGAGTTGTTCGATGGCTGTTGGTAGGAAGGATCTCCAGTAGCGGTCAGTGTTGCAGCGAAACTGAAGAAGCCTCTGACTGAAGACACTCTTCTGTTGTTGGACAGTCTTGTGGAGAGAATGCTCAGGGTTGTCCATAATTTTCTTGATTCTCTGGAGAATCCTTCTTTGCATGATCTCCTCCAGTGGTTCCACAGTCGTCCCCAGAACAGAACCAGCCTTTTTTATTAGGCTGTTGAGCCTTTTCAGGTCCCTGCTTCTGATGCTGCTACCCCAACAGACGATGGCTGAAGAGATTACACTCTCAACAACAGACTTGTAGAAGATCTGCAGCATCTTGCTACAGACACTGAAGGACCTAAGCGTCCTCAAGAAGTGCAGTCTGCTGTGTCCCTTCTTGTAAACGGCTTCACTGTTCTTTCTCCAGTCCAGTCGGTTGTCCAGGTGAACTCCAAGGTATTTGTATTCCTCAACCACCTCCACTTCTTCTCCCATGATGG